CTCGTTGGGCCATGTTTTGCGTTCAAGTCCCTATCTCGCAGACACGTCCGTTAGATAGTGACTTCTAGGGCTATGTTAGGCAATATGGAAGCTATGTTGAGCCACGTTAGGGGAGCCTGTTCAGCCAAATGTCCGGCCTCAGTCCAATTACACTTTACCGCTCAGATGATTCAAATCATGCAAAGGAAGCAAATTGCATTTCTTGCATCACCAGGGGCTTCAAAATAGCACGAATTCATCTTCCAGCACTTTAAGCCGGTTCCAAAAACGTGAAAAAACACAGGATTCTAGAGCGAAAAAGGCCCCCCCCCTAGCTAAAGCTATTGGCTTGCATATGCTAGCTTACGTACTAAAAAAACGCCTCGGCGCCTTCGGTGTGGGCGGATTTTTGTTTTGTGTTCTTTATCGTGCTGACCTCGTCAAGCTCAGACGTTTCACTTTTGTCTGTCACACTCACTATGTGCAGGCGGATGAGAACACCACATCCAATGGCAGCATCAAAGCGAAAAACATATATGGAGAAAGGCCATGACGTCGGTTTTGGTATGTAATTGAACAGTAAACGTGTCGCTGTTTGACGACACAGAGACGATGACAATTTCTTGCCCAGTGAGCCACTCACCGTGACACCAGCTGATCCGTCTGTCGTTTGTTGGCCAGTAGTGCTTTTGGCCTTTGGACCCTGCCTTCGCTTTGGGTTTCTTGTGCCGTTGTTCATTTGTGACTGTCTTTGACTTGTTTAATCTGCACTGCCTTTACTTCGTCTACAGTTCCGGGTGTCTCCTCCACTTTGCTGCGAGACACTTTTTCTGCTATTGCACTTCCCTTCCTTGCACAAATAGATTCAAATAGATCAAACCTTGCCCCGATCTGGGCACTTTTGTAGCAACACATCGTCTCGTGTACCTTCTTTCATCTCCGAGCGCAGACAAGCGACAAGCAAATGTTGCTCTTTATCATGCAGACGGGACCATGTGGTAGTCAAATGGAGACAGTGAAAAACAGTGGCAAACAGGTGAGACAATTTGGAATAAAAAAACATTATTCATTCCCAAAACTTCTTGGGTCAAGCATTCAGACCATCTTCTATTTCTGTTCAGGAACCTGTTGGATTGACACACCCCCTTTGTTGGTCAGCTTGATGGGTGAACCCGTCGATCAGATCCGAAATGATCGCAAAACCGCAGCATAGCGGCTCAAAATGAGTCCATGGCTGAGCTAGTAGTATACGGACGCGAAAGCTGTGGTTTTTGCAGAGACTTCAAAGAGCTTTGTTGCGAAGAAGGTTTGAAGTATCGCGATGCCAACATCGATGTGCCTGCCAACAAAGCGGAAATGGCCCGAAAGCTGAGGAGCACTGAGTGGTTCAAAGGCAAGTTTCCAAAGAGAGAACACACAAAAAGAACATTCCTGGTTAGACGTTACTACCCCTTTCTGCAAGCACGAATGCCATGTACTTGATTGCTTGGTCGTTGTGTCAGACTGTGTCAGCTGGAAGGTGGCAAGTTTGGGCTACCATTGGTGGACGTTTACGGAAGCATTCATGAGCGGCCAACAGTGGCGAGTGTCAAAGCTGCCAGGGAGATGTTGCCTAGTGATGAGCAGGTCGACAATATAAAGAAACAGTTCAAGGACCGTCGAACAAAGCAGGTTTTTCATTCCCCTGCTTCATTACCAGCTCAAATCATAGGTGTGGAGTGTGGAGAAAGTTTCTTTCCCCGTGTTAACCACGCAGTTAGTGTCGAGAAACAACACTCACCAAGCTGTTTGCGTTCCATCTCTTTGCCGAACTTCCGGAAACTGGACTTTTCACAGGAGTTGGACCTCAACAATGATGGTACGCTTTCTTTCAATGAGATGCAAAAGATGATGCAGGGTATTGCACCAAGCATGTCTGAAATCCAGCTGCAGAAACTCTTTTGCGCAGCTGATGTGAAACTCGTCGGTTTTTGCACATCCAGCAGTAGCGGCCTGTTGTCATGGTAGCTACCCACTAAACGGGACGGATTCTTTCTTATTTTTGTTTTACCCGTTCTACCCTTCCTTTTCTTGTTCCTTTTCTTGTTCCTTTTTGTATCTTCTTCACACCTTTAGGCCTTTCTCTTTTCCATGTTTCCATTCTTGTATCTAGCCTTTATTCGTCTCCGCATGACATTCTCACGTTGGGTGCCTCTTTGCCCACTTGCCTGTCCCAAGTCAGGAATCAGAATGGGGTTCTTGAGTTGAATGAGTTCATCGACTTTGTTCTACATGGCAAGGTGCTTTGGGTCACTGTTTCTCTCTTTTGTGATCTTTCATACGTCAACCGCTCACATTTGCAGGCAGCAATGGCCAAGATCATGCAGGAACCACCTGAGACGGAGCCATGCCCAGAAGCTGTGAGAGAGGATTGGAAGGCACGGGTTCAACAAAGAAAACAAATGCCCAAGAAGCTAGTAGTAGTAGTAGTAGTAGTAGTAGTAGTAGTAGTAGTAGTAGTAGT